TATTTTTTCTAGTAGTACTTCATACTGCCCTCTAGTTGATAGAAAGGACTTCGTCCAAATTGACTTATTTTCTTGGCAGCTATTATGAATTTTAGAAATAAATTTGAAAATCAGAACCTCAGGAGAAAATATTTTACTAAACGAGATACAAGCTTAGGACAATGTCATAAAACCCATGGGTGCTAAATTCCTAACAAAATGGAAGAGTTAATACCTAATTTAAAATTTTTTATCTCAAGTGAAATTTACTGCTAAAGTGATCATCGCCTTTTTTTTTTTTTTTTTGAGAAGGAGTCTTGTTCTATCATCCTGACTGGAGTGTAGCGGCACAATCTCAGCTCACTGCAACCTCTGCCTTCCAGGTTAAGCAATTCTCCTACCTCAGTCTCCTAAGTAGCTGGGATTACAAGTGTTCACCACCATGCCCAGCTAATTTTTGTATTTTTAGTAGAGACAGGGTTTTGCCATGTTGGCCAGGCTGGTCTCCAACTCCTGGCCTCAAGCAATCTGCCTGCCTCGGCCTCCCAAAGGGCTGGGATTACAGGTGTGAGCCACTGCACCCAGCTGTGATCATCACATTTAAGACTCAGAACACTAGTTTTTACCTGAGCCTGTGTAGAGGCAGCAGCAGCAACAGCTGCTGCTTGTTCCTGTTCCTGATAGTATTGAGAAGCCCGTCTGTCCTCTTCCTCTTGGAGTTTCTTTGCTAGTTCCAAATCACTGATTCCTTCTGGGATTTGTTCCCAATTGATCTCTTGGCTCTGCTGTTCTTGTTGTAGAGATAATGCCATAAGATAATCCTAAGAAATTAAATTATAACCATCATTAGCCATGAGATTTTGCCCAAGAATGAATGACTGCAAATATAGATGTTATATCTATAAAGCTGTAAGAATGGCTTTAAAAAAATATGCCACGCCCGGGCAATATAGCAAGACCCTGTCTCTACAAAAAAAGTTTAAAAATCAGCCAGGTGTGGTGATGTGCACCTGTAGTCCTAGCTACTTGGGAGGCTGAGGCAGGAGGATTGTGTCAGCCCAGGAGTTTGAGGTTACAGTGAGTTATGATCTCCTCACTGCACTCCATCCAACACAGGTGACAGAGACCCTGTCTATAAAAATGAATAAAAACAAAAAAAGAGAAAGAAAACAATATAAAATGACAAATAATTAAAATAAAATAAAAACCATTTTATTTTAAATATTAAAATGACAGTTACCTTCCTAAGTATTTCCCTTGGGGAGCTATGAACTTATTTCAGTGATTCTGTCATTGTTCTAAATATTTTTGGAGGCCAGGCGCGGTGGCTCACGCCTGTAATCCCAGCACTTTGGGAGGCCAAGGCAGGTGGATCGCTTGAGCCCAGGAGTTCGAGACCAGCCTGGCCAATATGGTGAAACCCCATCTCTATGAAAAACACAAAAATTAGCCAGGTGTAGTGGTGCACACCTGTAATTCCAGCTACTCGGGAGGCTAAGGCAGGAGAATCACTTGAACCTGGGAGGCAGAAGTTGCAGTGAGCCAAGATCATGCCACTGCACCCCAGCCTGGGCGACACAGCAAGACCCGGTCGCAAAAAAAAAAAACTGGGGGGAACGTATTTGAAATTGTTTTTGGAAGCCATATATAGGCAGTCAAGAAAGCTAAAAAGAAAACAAAACAAAAAGTAGAGGGGAGCCAGGTACAACGGCACACACCTATAATCCCAGCACTTTGGGAGGCTGAGGCGGGCAGGCTGCTTGAGCCCAGGAGTTTGAGACCAGCCTGAACAACATGGCAAAACTCTATTTCTGCAAAAAACACACAAAAAATTATCTGGGCATGGTGACACATGCCCGTGGTCACAGCTACATGTAGGGGAGGCTGAGGTGGGAGGATCACTTGAGCCCAGAAAGTTGAGGCTGCAGTGAGCTGTGATCACACCATTGCACTGTAGCCGAGGTGACTGAGACCCTGTTTCATGTATAAATAAATAAGTAAATTGGTTTAAAGAATTTTTAAAAGTTCCCCATTTACAAAAGAAACACATGCTTATAGGCAATTCAGACAAAACTGAAAACCATAAATAACAAAATTTAAATCACCATAATATCATTACACAGAGATAACTACTGTTAACAGTAGTTTATTATTATTTTTCTACATTCCCATACAAATTCAAACCAACCCTCTGAAACTACTGCAATGTTTTCTTTTCCATTTAGTGTCCTAAAAGTCTTCTGTTTTAAAAAATAAGAATTTCCCAAGATTATTAAATATTCTTCTAAAAGATGATTTTTAAAGACAACATAGTAGCCATCATATAGTCTTACTCAATTATTTAACCATCTCCTTCCTACTCCCATGTACACACTCAGATTACTTTCTATCAGAAAAAGTGCATTTTGGTCAAGCGTTAACTTAATATCCACTTATATTAAGAGTCAGTGCTGACTAAAATTTGACCAGTCTGTGTACCTCCTCCCCCATCTACCCTCAAAATAAGATAATTTTAAATAATACAGAGGATGGGTAAACGGTTTTTGCCTGTGGCCAGGTGGGGTGGCTCACGCCTGTAATCCCAGCACTTTCGGGGGCCAAGGCGGACAGATCACTTGAGCTCAGGAGTTCGAGACCAGTGTGGGTAACATGGCGAAACCCTGCCTCCACTAAAAATACAAAAATTAGCCAGGTGTGGTGGCACATGCCTGTAGTCCCAGTTACTCGGGAGGCTAAGGTGAGAGAATTGCTTGAGCCTAGGAGGTGGAGGTTGCAGTGAGCCAAGATCGCACCACTGTACTCCAGCCTGGGTGACAGAGTGAGACCCTGTCTCAAAAAATAAAAAAGGTTGTTGCCTGTAAAGATCGTGTCATACATATAGCATGACTATCTCATGGATATAAAGATATAAAGAATTTGTCCTTCAAGTTCTTCTGAATTCTTCAAACTCTGCTCTTTACGAAGCCTCATGGTCTTGAATCCACCTCTTCCTTGCTGCTTCCAGATAACAATCTCAACACCTTATCTGGACTACTGTGACAATCTATTGCTTTGCCTTCATTCCCCTGCTCCAATTTTTTCTTGGCTCACTGCAACCTCCGCCTCCTGGGTTCAAGTGATTCTCCTGCCTTAGTCTCCCGAGTAGCTGAGACTATACAGGTACATGCCACCATGCCCAGCTAATCTTTTGCATTTTTAAAATTAGAGATGGGGTTTCACTATGTTAGCCAGGATGGTCTTGATCTCCTGACCTCGTGATCGGCCCGCCTTGGCCTCCCAAAGTGCTGGGACTATAGGTGTGAGCCACTGCGCCTCGCCTTTTTTTTTTTTTTGAGACAGACTCTTGCTCTGTCACCCAGGTTGGAGTGCAATGGCACGATCTTGGCTCACTGCAACTTCTGCCTCCTGGGTTCAAGCGATTCTCTCACCTCAGCCTCCCGAGTAGCTGGGGTTACAGGTGCGCACCACCACATCTGGCTAATCTTTGTATGTTTAGTAGAGACAGGGTTTCGCCATGTTGGCCAGGCTGGTCTTGAACTCCCAATCTCAGGTGATCCACTCACCTCGGCCTCTCAAAGTGCTGGGATTATAGGCGTGAGCCACCATGCCCAGCCCAATATTTTTTATATATAATATAACGCTTAGAAAAATCCCGCACATTTCTCTTAACATTTAAAACACAATACCCGTGTATAGCTTCTGAAGGAAAACGAGCACAATGACTTTCAGAACTGTTTTTCAAAGAAAAGTCCTAGAAAGATGCATATTTGTTTGAATTAAATATTCTTCTGTGTACTTGATACCTGCTCTTCAAATTGCCATTATAGCACTTAACATATAACATGCGTTGGTCAAATATCTGCCTCCCCTACTAGGCTCAGCATCTTTAAGGACAGGACTGAATGATTTATCGTTGTATCCCTAGGACCTAATTATCGTGCCAGGAAAACAACTCCTCACTGAATATTGGCTAACTGAACAGTCTTTGTGCACTTAAATTGTTATGAGTGAAATATATGCCAACTGTTTAATATGACCATATTTTTGCTTCAGTCAGGGAAGAATTCACATCACTATCATGCCTCTAATAATAAACAGACCTGTGGCTCCAAGCCTGCCCACTTATGGCAAGCAAAAATCTCATCTGTTAAAAAAAAAAAAACTCATCTGTCTCATTTCTAAATGCAAGTTCTATTCACTAGTGCGTCTCCTGCTATAAATGTCTACTCCTCCTTACCTTAGCCTCTAAGGTTTAGAATATCCACCCATTCTTTATACAGTATATGCTACCTTCCAGATTCTCTCTCCTCTACTTTTTCTAACTAGTCAAAATATAACTCAGATATGTGCTCATCTCTTCATCTTTACCACCCAAGGCTAAGCCATCATCAGCTCTTGCTTGGACTGTTTGTCTCTGCTTAAACCTGTATCCTTCCTATGTATTCTCCAAATAGCAGTCTTTTAAAAAGGTAAAGAAGATCCCATCACTTCCATGTTTAATGCTTGACATAGCTTCTCTACTGCAATTAGAATAAAATTCAAACTTCTCACCATAACCTTCACAGTTCAATATGATCTGGCCTTCTGCACCAAAGTACATAATTAATGTACATGTAGAATGATCACCAACTATTCAGGAAGTGTCAGGAAAATTTCACAAGTATATTGATGAATTAATCTTTAGTTGAAAAATTTTGGATAACTGAATTCACATTTGAAAAAAATCAGCATTTTAAGCATTATAAAGAAGACAATACAAATTTACCTGATCTATCTGATCTTGTTGTCCTTTGTATACAGTTTCAGGATCTGAAGGAGGCCGAAGACGAAATTCTGAGTCACAGAAATTTCCATCACCATCTACATTGTGTAGGCTTTCCCAAACAACTTTTTCTTCAGTAAGAAACCCCTGGTCCGTTACCAACAAATACAGTTGACCCTTAATAAGAAGTAACAAAAGAAAAAAGACTGTTAAATTGATCAAAACTAGAAATATAGTATTTAAGGAAAGTTTTATAATCTATATCTTCAGAATGTATTAAACATTCCTACTGTTTAGATCTGTACAACACGATAAATAGACCAAGTAGATATTTTACTTCCTCAAATCCACTCGGCTTTGAATATAGTTTTTAATTGGCACACTACACTATAACAAGAAATAAGAGCTCTTGGCATGCTCAGCTAATGTATGACTTATAAACACCTTTGGGGGGTTTATATTCTCATTTCACAAAATAGAAAAACACCATACAAATTCCTGAAAAATATATTACAGTCACAAAAAATGATACCATGTTGCCTATTTTTTTTTTCCAATTAAGCCTATATGACTAATCCAATCCATACCAATTTTTCCTTTCTCTGCACCATTAGTTACTCTTGTTTTATACACCAATAATACTTTGTACCTACTCTGTATTATCAATGTACTTCTTTTGTATACCAATAATACAGATAAAATGCAATTGTTTTGTACTTGTTTTGTATCACCAAATTGCCCAGTATTGATTGTATTTTCCTGCCTTATCCCATAGCCTCTGTACCTGCATAAAGTTTTTTTTTTTAAATTTTTGTGGATACATAGTAGGTGTGTGTATTTGTGGGTTACTTGATTTTTTTTTTTTTTTTTTTTGAGAAGGAGTCTCACTTTGTCACCCAGGCTGCAGTGCAGTGGTGCGATCTCAGCTTACTGCAACCTCCGCCTCCCGGGTTCAAGTGATTCTCCTGCCTCAGCCTCCTGAATAGCTGCGACTACAGGCATGTGCCACCACGACCGGCTAATTTTTTGTATTTTTAGTAGAGATGGGGTTTCACCGTGTTAGCCAGGATGGTCACGATCTCCTGACCTCGTGATCTGCCCGCCTCAGCCTCCCAAAATGCTGGGATTACAGGCGTAAGCCACCGCGCCCAGCCTACATGGTATTTTGATACATGCATGCAATGCATAACAATCACGAGGGTAAATGTGGTATCCATCCTCTCAAACACTTACTGCTTGTGTTACAAACAATCCAATTACACTCTTTTAGTTATTTTAAAATGTAAAATTAAATTATTTTTGACTATACTCACACTCTTGTGTTAGCAAATGCTAGGTCTCACTCATTCTGTTTTTTTTTTTTTTTAACATCCATTAATCATCCATCCCACCTGCCTCCAAATACCCATCCCAGCCTCTGGTAACCATCATTCTACTCTCTTATCTCCAGGAGTTCAATTGTTTTAATTTCTAGCTCCAAAAAAACAAAGAAAGAACATGCGAAGTATGTCTTTCTGCGCCTGGCTTATCTCACTTAACATTATGACCTCCAGTTCCATCCATGTTGTTGCAGTTGACAGGATGTCATTTTGTTTTGTGTGTGAATAGCACTCCATTGTGTATGTGTACCACATTTTCTTTATCCATTTGTTTGTCAATGGACACAGCTTGATTCCAAATGTTGTCTAGTGCAAATAGTGCTGCAATAAACATGGGAGTGCAGATACCTCTTTGATACACTGATTTCCTTTCTTTTGGGTATATTCTTAGGAGTGGGATTGCTGGATTGTACAGTAGCTCGATTTTTAGTTTTTTGAGGAACCTCTAAACTGTTCTCCATAGTGGTTGTACTGATTTATATTCCCATCGACACTGTATGAGGGTTCCCTTTTCTCCATATCCTCACAAACATTTGTTGTTGTCTTTCAGAAAAAAGACATTTTAATTGGGGTGAGATGATATCTCATAGTTTTGATTTGCATTTCTCAGATGACCAGTGATGTTCAGCACCTTTTCACATACCTGTCTGCCATATGTATTTTTTCTTTAAGATGGAGTCTCACTCTGTTGCCCAGGCTGGAGTGCAGTGGCATGATCTTGGCTCACTGCAGCCTCCATCTACCAGGTTCAAGTGATTCTCCTGTCTAAGGCTTCTGAGTAGCTGGGATTACAGGTGCCCACCACCACACCTGGCTAATTTTTGTATTTTTAGTAGAGATGGGGTTTCACCATGTTGGCCAGGCTGGTCTCGAATTCCTGACCTCAAGTGATCTGCCCACCTTGGCCTTCCAAAGTGCTGAGATTACAAGTGTGAGCCACCACACCTGGCTCCATTTGCATGACTTCTTTTGAGAAATGTCTATTGAAATCATTTTGCCATTTTAAATTTGATTTAACTGATGAGATTTTTTTTTTTCCTAGAGAGCTGTTATATATTCTGGTTATGAATCTGTTGTCACATGGGTAGTTTGCAAATGTTTTCTCCCATTTGGTGGGTTGTCCCTTCACTTTTTTTTTTTTTTTTTTTTTTTTAAGGCAGAGTCTGGGTCCCACTCTGTTGCCCAGGCTGGAGTGCAGTGGTGCGATCTCGGCTCACTGCAGCCTCAGCTTCCTGGGTTCAAGTGACTTTCCTGCCTCAGACCCAAGTAGCTGCAACTACAGGAGCACACCACCACGCCTGGCTAATGTTTGTATTTTTAGTAGACAGGATTTTGCCATGTTGGCCAGGCTAGTCTTGAACTTCTGAGCTCAGGTAATCCTCCCACTTCAGCCTCCCAAAGTGCTGGGATTACAGGCATGAGCCACCACACCCAGCCACTTTGTTGAAGGTATCCTTTGCTGTGCAGAATTTTTTTAACTTGATATGGTCCCATCTGTCCACTTTCACTTTGTTGCCTGTGCTCGTAGGGTATTACCCAAGAAATCTTTGTTCACTTCAGTGTCCTAGAAAGTGTCTCCAATGTTTTCTTTTAGTCATTTCATAGTTTGAGGTCTTGGATTTAAGTCTTTATCCCTTTTTTTTTTTTTTTTTTGAGACAGAGTCTCGTTCTTGTTACCCAGGCTGGAGCACAGTGGCACGATCTTGGCTCACTGCAAGCTCTCCATTCTCCTGCCTCAGCCTCCTGAGTAGCTGGGACTACAAGCACCCACCACCACGCTGGCGAATATTTTTTATTTTTAGTAGAGACAGGGTTTCACTGTGTTAGCTGGGATGGACTTGATCTCCCGACCTTGTCATGATCCACCTGTCTCAGCCTCCCAAAGTGCTAGGATTACAGGTGTGAGCCACCATGCCCGGCATTTTTTTTTTTTTTTGAGACAGAGTCTCGCTCTGTCATCTAGGCTAGAGTGCAGTGGTATGACCCCAGCTCATTAAAACCTCTGCCTCCCAGGTTAAAGGAATTCTCCTGCTTCAGCCTTCCAAGTAGCTGGGATTATAGGCATGCACTACCACACCCAGCTAATTTCTGTGCTTTTAATAGAGACAGGGTTTCACCATGTTGGCCAGGATGGTCTAGAACTCCTGACCTCAAGTGATACATCTGCCCTGGCCTCCCAAAATGCTGGGATTACAGGCGTGAGCCTGTAGAGGCGCCTGACCACTTTAGTTCATTTTGGCTTGATTTTTGTATATGAGATATGGGAGTCCAGTTTCATTTTTCTGCATGTGGATATCCAGTTTTCCCAGTACCATTTATTGATGAGACTCTTCCTTCCCCAATGTATGTTCTTGGCACCTTTATTGAAAATGAGTTCATTGTAGGTGTGTGGATTTGTTTCTGTGTTCTGTATTCTGTTCCATTAGTCTATGTGTCTGTTTTCATGCAAGTGTCATGCTGTTTTGGTTACTATAGCTCTGTAATATAATTTGAAGTCAGGTAATGTGATTCCTCCAGTTTTATTCTTTTTGGTTTGGATAGCTTTGGCTACTCTGGCTGTTTTGTGGTTCTATATAAATTTTAGGATTTTTAAAGTATTTCTTTGAAGAATGTCATTTATATTTTTATAGGGATTGCATTGTATCTATAGATTGCTTTGGGTAGTACAGAGATTTTTAACAATACTGATTCTTCCAATACATGAACACAGATCATCTTTCTATTTTTTGGTGTCCTCTTCAATTTCTTTTTTGAGATGGAGCCTCTGTCATCCAGGCTGGAGTGCAGTGATATCACAGCTCACTGGAGCCTTGAGCCTTTGGGCCCAAATAATCCTCCCACCTCAGCCTCCAGAGTAGCTAGGACTACAGGCATGTGCCACCATATCTGGCTAATTTTTTATTTTTTCTAGAGATGGGGTTTTTCTGTGTTGCCCAGGCTGGTCTCAAACCCCTGGGCTTAAGTAATCTGCCTGCTTCGGCTTCCCAAAGTGCTGGGATTACAGGTGTGAGCCACCATACCTGGCCTTCCTAACATATTTTTAATACCCAGCTTGGGTCTACCTCATCCTATGATAATTTAAGAGAAAAACAAAAAGTCCTTTCCAGCTAATTTTCCACTGAATAGATCTGACCCTTCTCTTTATACTTATCACAACTCATTTCAACATATCATTTAATATTACATAATGTCTCTGTTTTACAATTTATGTAGATCATATATTACACTGGCTATTTTCCAACCATAATCTTATTAGTAATTTTCCCCCAGATGATGCTTAGTATGAGGGTTCTTCTCTTTTTTTTTGAAACACAGTCTTGCCCTGCCACCCAGGTTTTAGCACAGTTAGGTAATCTTGGCTCATGGCTCTGCCTCCCAGGTTGAAGTGATTCTTGTGCCTCAGCCTCAATAGTAGCTGGGACTCCAGGCGCACGCCACCACACAGAGCTAATTTTTGTACTTTTAGTAGAGTCAAGGTTTTGCCAGGTTGGCCAGGCTGGTCTTGAACTCCTGGCCTCAAGTGATCCACCCACCTTGGTCTCCCAAAGTGTGGGGATTACAGGCGTGAGCCACAGCACCTGGCCACATGAGTATAAGTTTTAACTAAAAGGGTATTCCTTTCTTGGTACAGCTGATCTGTCTTCTCATAGATCATCAGCCTCAATTTCCTCCTTAGATTTTGATATTTATTTTTTGTTGTTGGTGGGTTTTTTTTTTGAGACAGAGTCTTACTCTATCACCTAGGCCGGAGTGCAGTGGCACGATCTCAGCTCACTGCAACCTCCGTCTCCCAGGTTC